AATGAAACAGCAAGGGACAAGAGCCCTAAGGGGGACTGCAGGACCCTGGCACAGCAACCTTACCAGAACAGCGCAGCCACAGAGGTGCCCGCTGCCTTCCAGGTGTCTAGGGAAGTGCTCTGCGTGGAAAGACGGAGCAGAGGGGCAGAGCTCTGCGGATCCCGGAGCTCGGCCGTGCAGCCCCCAGCACCCCTGGGCTCCTGCAGCCCCCCAGAGCCTCCCGCGCCTCCGGCCGCCTGCACGGACACCTCCCTTCCAGCTACACACGGAGCACACGGAGGCCTGCGGGACCGCGCACCCACGGCCTCTGCCCAGACCACTGACAAAATAAAATGTTGAAAAAATAAAAATAGGAAAAAAAAAGGAAGCATCTTCCCCGTGATCGGAATCTTCTCCTTCAAGGCCCTCTGAAGGGCTGACAGGCCGTATCTGAGGGAGGTTTCCCTGGTTACAGCTGCTCACGTATTCCAGCACAAGACCATTTCCACCCTGGCTCTCCCTCTGACCTGGGTAGAACCAGCTCTGTCCTCTGTTCCCAACCCCAGCATTTCCCCTCACTAATTCAGAGTGAAGCTGAGCCCTGGCTTTAATTAGTACTCAGCACTACTAATAGCGCCAGGCACAAAATTTGACAGGCAGAAAAACCCCAGCCAGCAGAAGCATCATTTAGATGTCAGCATCAACTCCAGCAAAGTGGCTCTACCCACAAGTCCTCCCACGAGTCCAGCCCCACAAGGATCCAATTTTTTGCTCGATTTGCATCTGAAATAGCCTACAGCCCTTCTTTGGGAATGCAGATATGGGAGGGCTCTAAGCAGTGGTGAGTCCCTGAGCTTGCCCTGAATCCACCCCACACTTGTTCCTCCCTGGAGCCCGACGCGGGCAGCGGTTCGAGCTGACGGCACGGGGATTTCAGCGCAGTGTCCCCAGCCCCTCTCCGCCAGCGCTGTCCCGCGGCGCAGCTGCGTCTCGCAAGGATGTCAAGCGAGACGGCAAAGCCAATGACATGGCAGAGGCTCCGAGCCGCCSGCAAAGCCTCGGAGCCGCCGGCAAAGCCTCGGAGCGGCGGAGCTGGGCATGCTGGGGGAGGGGAGGGCCGCATCCCGCAGGGCACATTTGCCTGGAAGGCGGCGCGGATCCGAGCGCTGCTTCCCGCACAGCCCCGCAGGGCCGGGCGCCGCCGCCAGCCCCCAGCCGGGCACCGCCAACCTCCCCACAGCCCCATTGTTGGGGCTAACAAAGGAGCGGTTTGTGTTCCACCGGGAGAGGGRAAACCAGAGGCAAAAAGCGCCCCGGTGGCGCTGAGCGCAGGCAGGGTGAGCCGCGGCACGGCKCCTTTCCGTAGCATTTTGCAGATGTTGGCTAATCCTCGCTGCCGCTTCCCACCTCCTTTTCACTGGCAGACCCCAAGGCAGCCGGAGAGCTGGCTCCTCTCACCTTGGAGCACACGGGGAACTGGAGGGCGGTTACAAACCTCACATTCCACATCACGGGTATCCAAGATGCTGGACAAGCTCCCGGGCATGGGGAYGCGTGTGGAAGCAGCGGTGCGTCCCCAGGGACCATCCATCCCTTCCCAGGGAAAGGCGGGCGCCGGGATGGCCGGGAGCTGCCGGATGGAGGCGAGAGCCGGCCGGGCGCTCGCTGCCGCATCCCGGCTCCGCCGCCGCCAGCACCGCCCGGGGAGCCGGGGCCGCCTCGGGCAGCGCTTGGTGCCTGCCGGGCTCGGACACCGGGGCAGGGCAGCGCCGCGGCGGAGCGGCCGCGGGACCGGCACCGGCACCGGCACCGGGCCGGCCCGGGCACGAGCGGCACCTGCCACCGCG